AAAAAAAATATATCCTACCCTAAAAACAAAACGATTAACGGAAACGGCTCGACAACATAGTAACTAATCAAAAGAATTAAAGACAAGCCTCTGGAACCAGGGTAAAATGAGAGCAAAATTTTAAATACTCTTTCAAAAATTCTAGATGGAAATGCAAATAAAATATGGACTTATCAAACAATAAGTCATTTGKTATAATAGCTTTAAAGCTAAATGGAGACAACTGTCAGAAAACAATGGATTGTATTCTATTAATTGTATCCAAAATAAATACTATCAAATAAACAAAAGATAACAATAGAAATAGCATATTTTTTTTGGTCCCCCTTTTTTAGTGCACAAAAAGTTTTGGTCCCCCCCTTTTTTCCACCAGCCCCCCTCCCCTCCCTGTAAATAATGTTAGGTCCCAAAATCATATTATTTTTCTTATCAAAAGTGGGGGCGGGGGCTCCTCTTGCTACGGGCCTGCCTATGCATGCAATGTTTTAACTATATAGATCTCAAAAWTCAACGAAACTAAATCTTGCACGTCGTTTCGCATTTTTCAGTTTATTTTCTATTTTTTTTCATCAAGCATCTTCTCAATTGAATCGAATTTGCTCAACCTTTTTTCTAGTGCTTTTGTTGGGCCGAGTGTTGGAGGAATTCTAAACGATCAKTATGGCTTTTCTTGGACAGCTACGGTACGTATTTGTTGCAATTATTATTATTTCAATCTATAAATACTTGCCAAAACGCGGAAAACTGATCCCATTAGTTATTTAGACCTAATTACTCAGCTCTTCATTTTCTGAATTTTATCAATAAGCTGCTTAGTCTAATGGAATACTTGGGCACTTATTGATAACYTTTGGAAAAGGCATGATAAACAAACAAGTCAGTTATCTCAAAACAACCCTTCGCGTTTTAAAAGGAAATCGTTTTTAAATGTGATTATGATGCGAGATCCCGATTGTGGTAGCGTTGTTCTCTTCAATTCCACCTTGACAATAGTAATGTTGAATTTTTAACCTTTATTAGATCGTAGGATTCTTAATGGCTGGACAGGTATGGCGACCATTCAACCTATAGTTTGTCAATCTTTTCAATTTTTTTYTAGTTTGTCTCAATCACTTATTGTATTTCTGCCTGTATTGCAAGAAAGTTATCATGTGAATATTGGACATTGATATTTTAGTTTATATCGAGACCTGATTTCAARAGGGTGTTGTCCAATTTTTACATTGTTTTCTACCCGATCTGCAAAGACCAAATTACTCCATGTACCAGTTACAAGAGAATTGTATGTAATACAAACAAGACAATATCTTTAGGTGAATCATGTTTTACACCTAAGTWCACTTACTCATGAGTTCATTGATTATTGGTTTGTTTATTATTTGTTCGTTTATTTGTTAATTTATCATCATTATTTGTTGAGTCAATTGTTTTCATTTTATTATTTTTTTTGCAGTTTTTGGTCATTTCTATTTTCTACACATGTAACAGGTACATAGCTCTTTCAATTCGCCTCTCCACACAAGTCCTGAGAGATTTCTTTCWTGAAATTCTTTTTATCTGGATACAAAAATATCTTTGTCCGAATATCAAGRAAGTCAAGASAGCATGCACAGCTCGCGTACGGCACGTGCCTCTCAAAGATTTTGTCATACGTAATAAATGTCTGCAAAGAAAACTGAAATATACAATTTTCAAGTATKTTACTATGTGTGCTCCCCAAAAAATAAATGTTCGCTACKATCTGGTTATAGGCACAAAGCMYAAGGGGAGTTAATCGTTTGTTTTCATTATTTCTGCAGGCAACGATCAGTAACAGTGGGTCTCACAGAGCACGAACCACTTATTAGTAGTGAACGTACAATACCTGACTATTCTTAGCTCGTCTTTTAAAGAATCGAATTTACATAAGAAATTAAAAGAATTACCGTTACCTTATTTTGAACATTCAACTCTTACTATTACGCACAAAATAATGGTTTATTATGACATTTCGAGGTACAACGAGAAGATAATTCATGCTAATAATATTGATATTAATAAATARCAACAAACAAGTTAATAAATGCTAAAATGAAATTCCATGAACATCAAATTTAAGCCTTCATTATCGTATTTCAAATAACGAAACAATTGCTAACAAAGAAACAAATTGGACGCTCATGTGTTAAGATTGTAATAGATGCATTCTGAATGAATAAATAAATAATACTATTGACAATCGCCCGTGATGTGTATCTTCACCAATAAATAGTCTTAAATAATCTTATCAAATTATTATAATTATTATATATTTTTTCGAATTTTCGTTGTGATAAAATAAACAAGAGAAATACTCCTTTCTCCGGTTCAACGCGGATAGCCGCTGTGTTATATGACAGCACATTCTCTTGCTCAAAGATTACTATCAGAAGCAAAGAAATAGCAAAACAGCTTTGGAGTTCTATCTAAGCGGCCATAAAGAAATGCGAGTACAACATCATGCATTGTAGTAGAAAATGTCGTCACTGCACTATAGTTGCATTATAGTAGGAACAAATCTATGACATAAAGCTAAACAAATAACAAGGAAATAAAAAATGAGGAAAAGATAAAGAATGATGAATCATCAAATCATCCCGTCWATGTTCCAGTAACCTTGTTAGCTGTCAATGTTTTTTCTTCATGTGAACACGCATTCTCCAAGCTTCGATGAAGGTCGCAGAACACTTTGTGCATTTGAATCTTTCTCCAGTATGAATGCGTAAATGTCTTTGTAACGAACAAGACTGAGTGAAAACCTTGCCACACTGATAACAACAATGATCTTTTACGCCCTGAATGTGAGTCCTCTCGTGCCTTAACAGCGCGCTTTTCTGTGTAAAACTCTTCTCACAAAACTTACAGCGGAATGACTTGACTTCGGAATGCGTTCTTTGGTGATTTTTCAGAATTTGCTTGGTTCGGAAGCTCTTACCGCAGATGTCGCATTGTCGAGGTTTCTCGCCGGTGTGGAGCAGGTTATGCTCCTGTAGCTTCTCCCATCTTGAAAAGCTTTTTCCACATATCGTGCATCTAAAATGATGAATTGAYGACATGTGCTCAGAGTATTCTTGCCAAGTAAAAAAAGCTTCATAGCATCGATGTTTCTCGCATCTTATTTGCATGAGACTGCAGTTTTCTTTCTGATGATTCAAGTAATCTTCTTTGAATCTGAAGACTTTGCAGCAAACAGGACACTTGGGTTTCTTATCTCGCATGTGTGTAATGATATGATCGCTGAGCGAGCGCAGACTAAGGTACCAATTATTGCAAAGTTGGCAGGAGAACAGCTCCGCTTCACTGTGTGACTTAACATGAAGACGCCAGGCAAAGTAGTGYGTGAATGGTTTGTCGCAGTACTTACAGATATATTTCTTTCTTCTACMAACTTTCCTACTTTTCTGCTTCTTGGGATCATGACTTGCTAAGTGTTCAGCTAACGCATCGACGGAWAAGAAGTTTTTCTTGCAGTATTTGCAAGAAGAGATTCCATCTTTGCCATGGAGAGATAAATGATAAGCGAAATTTTTTTTTCTGAAGAATGAATCACCACAAGAACACTTAAACGTTCCACCAAAGTGTGAATGTTGTGTCACTAAGTGTCTCTGTAGATTCTGAACCGATAAAAATTGCTTTAGACAGAAAAAGCACTTGTATTGTATCACTTCCATTTCGTTTATTTCGACGGTTCTCTGTTCCTTTGTRGAACAAATCCTGGAAATGGCTTCCTCAACGAGTGTGTTGTAAAGTCGATCTTCGACCATGTTCATCGATGTTTGGTCGYTCATTGATAAATCAGTTTTTTCATCGTTCATACTAACATTGTTGCCCCAATGAATGTTACCTCTGACCATGGTTTTGTCTCTTGTGTCAGAGTTACTATTCGATTTGTTGTTCGAGTTTTTGTCCATAGACAACTCTCTTGAATGAACGTTGTCGCTCGAATGACTGCCATCTCTCCTACTCGGCTGTTCTTTTTGTTGCATAAGGGTTGATAATAGAGTTGTTTGAGTACGATGAAGCAAAGTTCCAAGCTGCATAAAGACTGGCTGATTAACGAGCGAAGTTCCATCCTGCTTACCACAGATAGGGCCCATTGGCTTTATTATGGTACTTTTTCCAACACATTCACTACCAGATTCTACAATYCCTCGATAGCTGTTTGGTCGGAGTAAACCATCTAAAGAACCCTTATTATTATTCGTGATGCTGCAATGGTGATATTTCCCGATCCATTCATCAACGGACGGCCTTTGTTCCGAGGAAACTTTAGTTCTTATTTCATTGCCATTCACATCCAAAGAATTCATACAATGCATTTCATCACAGTCTTGACCACTTCCAGAAGGCAAAATGTCCTTGTAGGACTCGAATTCATAACAGGCTGTGCTCAATGGCTGCAGAAAGACAAAMAATTTCATAAAACATCATTTAGAAAAAAGTAATAAGTTACATAAATAATAATAAGTTACAACAATCGATTGAATCAAATGGAAACAAGGCCAGTGTAGAAAGACGCGCGCAATTACAGCGCAACAATTGAGTGAAACAGAACTATGACACTGTAGAGAAACACCCGGAATTACAACGCAACAATCGATTGAATCGAATGGAAACAATGCCACTGTAGACAGACGCGCGCAGTTACAACGTAACAATCAAGCGAGAATCAAATGGAAACAATTGCCTAGTAGACAGACGCGTACAATTATAATGTAACAATGGACTGAATCTCCTGTGTTAACCTCAAAACCATGTAATACATTCTTTAATTATCTAAAAGCCCGTGCAAATGCAAGAAATCCGTGAGTATAGAAGACAATGGAAATAGTTTGAAATTTCACGACTTTTATCTATTTATAAATCTATTTTGAAAAAAATTGCGGCTAACATAGCGTAAAAGAGATCGCGAAACTCAACTATTACAACGCAACGATCGATTGAATCAAATGGAAACAATGCCACTGTAGAAAGTCGCGCTCAATTACAACGCAACAAAGGAAAGAATAGCATTGCTTCCATTTGATTCAATCGATTGGTGCGTTGTAATTGAGCGCGACTTTCTACAGTGGCATTGTTTCCATTNNNAACCTCAAAACCATGTAATACATTCTTTAATTATCTAAAAGCCCGTGCAAATGCAAGAAATCCGTGAGTATAGAAGACAATGGAAATAGTTTGAAATTTCACGACTTTTATCTATTTATAAATCTATTTTGAAAAAAATTGCGGCTAACATAGCGTAAAAGAGATCGCGAAACTCAACTATTACAACGCAACGATCGATTGAATCAAATGGAAACAATGCCACTGTAGAAAGTCGCGCTCAATTACAACGCAACAATCGATTGAATCAAATGGAAACAATGCCACTATTGAGAGACGCGCGCAATTGCAACGCAACAATCGAAAGAATCAAATGGAAACAATGCCAATGTAGAAAATCGCGCTCAATTACAGAGCAACAATTTCAATGGTCTGTACGCTTATCGACAATGAAAATGGTGTCAGAAAATGATCAAAACTCAAGTGGAACCACGAGCGTACCGATTTCGATTTGTTAAGTACACAGACACGCGCAATTACAASGCAACAATCGATTGAATGAGATGGAAACAATGCCACTTRCAATGTAAGAATCAAGTACAAACAATAAGTCTAACTTGATAATTGAAAAAAATCAGCAATGCGCAGTTAGGATGGAAAAGAGTTTCTCTTCAACTTAACTAWAGAATTAATTATAGAWTCCAATGCAGTATCTGTGATGAGTSRCACATGGGAGTGACCCTCAAGAAGTCAAACCAGGGGGGTRCCACAGATGTCATACATATTCTACAGCTAGTCTGTGTTGAAGGATGATGTTGTACAGGGTGTTCAGAGCAGAAGACAGGTATTAAAGGACTTAAATAACTTCGTGTGATTGTACATGGTTAACAACTATAATTTGTTTGATCAAAATCAAGTATCAACATTGAAATGATAGTCAAGCTGAAGGGCACTACTTATTAGTTTTACAATCAACATGTTGTCCAATGAATGGTTGATTTGAAAAAAAGGAAATGAAAACACAGGAGTATATTGTACTCTGCACATGACAGGCTGATAATGTGACATCCAGGATGTAAAAAAACAAAAAATATTTCCCAAAGTGTCATRTATATTTGATTAAATTGTAATCAAACTGTGCAAACAGCAAGTATTCTAAAAACACCAAGATCTAAAATGCAAAGGTCCTACTAAATACACCTAATTGAAAAAACGTGTGATTGAAAAAGTTACATGAAAGCCAAGGTCAACATTGAGCATGAGAAAGTGAACATTACATGTTTAAYATTGTTTTTGAAAGTGTCAAAAGATCATTTCACCCTGAAAATTCAAAAATGAACTACAAATAAGTATTTCTATAATGTAACATGTTTTATCAGGTGCAAACAATTTGAATATCTGAGAACCTAATCCCCTTCAGSATCATCGTCAATGATATCATCTTTTTGTGACAATAATTAGGTTATCCTCCACCCTAGATTCCCCTTCAGAGTAATTCATSACTAATTATAGTTATATCATACCTCTTGTTTAATGCAGCTGGTCCCCAATCTTTGTCCCTCCATTAACGGTAAATATATTAGCACTACAATCAAGCACCAATAATCAAGAAAACTGCATTATTGAGGGATTTAAATGTCTTTTTTTCCTTGTTCTTCTGTTCTTACAAGTACAATTGTGCCAGGTAAACAAAACTATTGTTTACTTGATCCCAACTTGGGTGGGGTATGTCACACGACACTCAAAACTACCCTATCCCTGCTATCCCAGACAAATGGGCGAACAACGAGACTTGGGAGCTCCAGGGATTTGCAAAAACACAGTCCAAGAAAGAGCTTCAGGAATATAATATTATGTTCAGGAACATAATACTAAAGAATCTGTTCACTTTTGGCAATGGTTGTCGTTTTTCTTGCCTTTGTTCATAAATCCCTCATTGTCTCAAGGCAATATTTCCGCAATTAGAGAGGTTACGATTATTTCAGGATCAAGGATCAGGATTTGGACCACTCTGAAATCTTGGATCAGTTGGATGCAATCCATGTGAACACTCAAAGGCCCTCAAACCATGGATGGCAATTTTTGGTGGTTCTAGGATCAAGTTTGAAATATAAAAAAGGATCGCGACTAAATAAAGACACCGGCATGTACGATCATGAACTTGGTTGCAAATAGTTTTGGTTGTCAGATAAATACACATTTTAAATGTACAATCTAACAAGAAGTAAAAATGTAATGTGATTGCCTATCCTCTGAAGCCACCCTTCAACCTATCGTTTTGACAATCGCGAACAAATTATTCTCAAATGCTTAAAATCAGAATACATAGCTAAATAAACCTTTCAATTACACTTCGGTCTTTTAATGATTCTCTGATTGATGGCTGTCGTCATTCAAAGTTTCGTATTGCGAAACAAGCTTCAACGAGTCTTTGATTTGTATTCTGGTAATAACTTACTTGATGTCACAAGAGGTCCTGTGTACAATCCCACGGCGTAAGCCAAGAGATAACCCASTCATCAAACTTTTCAAAACTTTAACCAACTACGTATTCTTCTGGTAGTGGCCGAGAAAGACTGGGTTTTCGCGGGAAAATAAGCTTTATCCTCAGGCAGCCCAACTTCAAATCATTTGTTTTTACTCTAGTTTCAAAATCATTAAAAAAAAAACAGAAAACGATAATAGCACAAAATCATAGTTGCCTACTAAAATCACATTAATATATGGATTAAATTGCGTATTTTGTAATATTGTTCATATTGTTTTAGTGCATTCTCCCTTTTTTCTTGGTTCTTAGACCTTTTGCTTAAATGGGGAGGTACATATGCACCCTGTGCTCCACCCTGCAGCCAAAAATCCATACATTTCATTTTTCTTGAGTTAGTCAGCCCTACTTTGTAGTAAGTCTCCTCTCCCAGCTGTTCCGAGACTGTTCATCGCAGAGGTAAAAAGAAGACAGTTGTAGGGACAGTTGTCCCTACTAGGAAGCAAAGGTTAATTCCTTTGCCTTCCATTCCTCATGAATAACATGAGGGACGATAAGTCTAATCTTCCCTCATGTTATTATGCTAATTCATGGGGGAGGGATGTTCACTTGTAAACGTCCCTTGGAAGACAAAAGAATCCGAGTTGATCATTTGTATTATCATACTAAATGTCATTTCTGTCATTGTCTAGCTGCTATTCTCCCACTTMCTCCCCCTCCACCTCCCACTAGCAACCATACTCCTTAGTATCAAAAGAAAAGAACGTTTGCATTGTGAACAAGGTAAGTTCTAGTATCCATTTTAATGCAACTAGGCAAGTATGTCAATTTAAAAAAATTTCATCTTGACCAATTAAGTTATAAGGGGCACAACATGATACCATGATACCATGATTTTTTTAATTTAAAGTAGCCATAAAACATTCTCTATTTATGTAATCCTATAGGCAGATTGTGCTGGAAATACCAAACTGCRTTCAATATTAACAACTTCAATATCTAACTAGTCTAGGACTTCTACTCTCTTTTCTTGACTTAGTGTAAACATCTTTGAAAACACATGGTACACATTATATGGAACAAATGGTATTGCAGAAGCTAAAGAATATTATTAGGTACTTTCCTATAGACAAATGCAAATGTTTGATCTTCCATCAATCACAGCCAAGAGATTGAGAGTCTATTTCAACAACATTGGTCCAGCTAGCTTGTCAGCTTCCCCATCATCCCCTCTTACAGCACGGACCAATTCAATGCCAAATTCAAATGATGTCCCTGGACCTCTGCTGGTTATCATGTTTTTGTCCCTGACYACTCGTTCCTCAGAATAGTTGTATCCTACATTTCAAACAGTACAGGTATTAAAATGACAAGCTAGTTAAAAGGGACATATTAAGAACTTCAGCATCTTATATGGCATGATTCAACCATGATTTAAAGCTGTTATACAAACTGAGCAAATGTATGTTTACCTGTCATCTTGTCTTTAATAGTTGGATGTGATGTCACTGTGTTACCTGCTCCAATACYATGYGCAACAAAAGCAGTGGGGCCTTAAAGTACATCATAATACACCAGAATTATTTTSCAATCTGACAAATTCAATTTACATTTTGGCAAAAATAACAAACTGTAATTCATTTTCAGTAGCAAAGGCACAACTAACCAGCACAAATAGCAGCAACTACTCCTCCTCTGTTGTACTGCTCAGTGAGTATTTCTTTGACCTTAGCAGACTTTATAAYATAGAAAAGAAAAGGTCTCATTCATGAGTTTATTACAGCCAGGAATTCAACTTTGCAGATAAAACAAATACCACAGTTCCCATGGTTACTTAGCAAATATAATAATATACATCTGATAAAAAGCTTTTGGTCAACAAGTTCAAACTTGTGACAAAACATCAATATTACATTTCATTTTGCATAAAACACATGTCCAGAACTAGATACACTTTTGATTTGTGTAAACATATTATTTCAAGACCATTCTAAGCAATAAAACAAAATGTCAGTATGGTATGGACATTCATTCAGTATAATGTATGTAAGTAGAGAGTCATGATGTAAGCATATTTACTSAGAACTTGGGTATTTTTGTCTTGTGCTAAATTCTTTTCAATTTTGGGGAATCATTTTCCCCATGTTTGTGTTCAAAAATCAAAAATCCGTTTGGATTAGATTTGCTCAGTTTATAGTTGGTTATATTAAAAACCAGCCCATGGGTTCTGGGCCATGAGCTACCAGAAAGACTGTGACTAGTGCCATGGAGCTCATACACAGTTGACTTGTATACCTGACAAATTGACTTAAATCTATGGCCCTTAAGGAAGTTTAGATTCATACAACAAAATAGCTGGTAAAAAGTAAAAAGAGATAAAGAAGCACTAATAATAATTATTATAACATGACCATCATTTCATGAGATTAGAAYTTATGGGTTTAAGTGCTGATTGAGTTAAGCTTTGGACAAATTTAGCTTCTGATTGCTTTCCAAGATATCAATACTATATTACATTAAGATTGAGCTACTAACATATATCAAGATACAGCATGTATTGCTTTTTTGAGATATCCTTAGTGTCTGCTGTTACTCACAATTAAACTGCCTCATTAGAGCACCTTTGAAAGCCAGAATACAAATTGAAGCAAACTACATGCAATATATTATATAAAAAACATTTCTCAATTACTGTCTCTAAAGGTTAGATCTTTCACAAATGTCACAAAAAGTCACAAATGTTACCTTACAAAGGTTGTTAGCACCTCCCAGTCCTCCAGGCAATATGACAGCATCATATGGACCCTACAATTACAGTAACTTTCAAATCAACACAAACAAAAGAATAACTGTCATTCAATGCTAGGACCCAAGTGTTATAACAATTCATGCCTATAAATGGGCTGTAGTGTCTTATGGAGTAAATTCCAATGCCTTGTGGAACTTACTTTACTATTAGATAAGAATCAAATCCCCAGTAAAATTTAGAGCATTGTTACTATTAACTATTAATTATTTCATCTAAACTTTGAATTGTTTTTTGGTAAAACTACTTTATTTATTTTTTTCTTTTCAGACCTATTTCAATTTTTTTCACAGTGAGATATTTTCACTTTGTGCTAAGAGAGAGAGTGTGTCAATGGGGTTAAGTGACTAGCATGTAAGAAGCTTTTTTGTTATTGTAAGCCAATAAATAAAAAAAATGACTGTTTATTGTATAAAGCAATGCCCAATTTTTAACATAGTCAATTGTGGAAATAATCAAATGCCTGATAAACATGCCGGTACAACTTGTTTCCAGATTTCTTTCATTGATCCTCTATTTACAATTAAATTTAGAAACAATGCAATAGCTTTTCTTTTAAGTTGCAGAGTGACATTTTTCTGTAACACGAGAAACTATGGACTTTATGAACCTGCAAATATTTTTATTGATTTAGTGCATTAACTAGCTTTTGTTACTGATAGTTACCATGGTAATGATGAACAAATACATTTTACTGACTAAGGGATTTTCCATGTATAAAATATARATGGTGAGTACAGACCTGTTCAATGGCTTTATCAAGACTCATATCTGGTTTTACAACTACTTGTCGGCTGCATTGCACATCATCAGATCCATCTAACCCAGCAATCACTGTTGTAACCTAAAACATGTGACTTTTGAGTGAAAATATAAAAAACCCTGAAATACTACATGCATAGTATAAATGTCTGAAAACTAAAAAAATCACAAATTCAGTTCTAGACCAACAGTGTTCATGTGACTGTATGAAGGCGGCGGTTCTATTGCCTTTCATGATACTAAATGATTTCAGTGACTTTCATAATTGCCTTTCATGATTGCCTTTCA